ACATATATATATTAAAGAAGGCATAACCATAATTTCTCTTAGAGAAACAGTTTCTCCGTGATTACGTTTTAGAATAATTAAAACGCGAAAATTCCAAAATTTGCAGTAATTAAAAAGGCTGTTTCTATCATTACTACGAAAAAACGAGGGATGAAAAAAAAATCCTGATGCATAGGAACATTAAAAATTTGTGTGTTTACGTATAAAAATATGTGATATTCTCATATAGGTCATTAATCTTAGTCTTTGAAACAGTAACATTTCCAGAAGTATTTCAGTTTTCATAATGTAAATTAAAAATAAACCTGCATTTGAACAGAATATCCTATTGGCAGTTGCCTTCAGAAAAGGTTTCAATTCATTGAAGCAAACCGATTTAATCTGAATCAACTGATGAACTCACGCTCCGACATTTCAAAAGCATTACGACTGTCTCTTAAATGCCAAGGAATTCGATCAGCATTTCTCCGATTTCTTAAATGTCTGAGCAAAATCACTTCAGCCATCTTGTTTACAGTCGCTGTTAAGAGTTTGCGGCAGGTCAGGAGTAGCCGCAAAATTCCTCTATGGTAGTGACGTATTTTCAGTAGGCGTGTCCGAAAAGCGTTGCACTTGAATTCGGTTTTGCAATGCAAGTGCGATTACCATGACAAGCGTTGCACTTGAATTCGCCCCTAAGCTTAATCCCATTTGGGCAGACTTGGGGAGTGCAAAACAAGACATCTGTCTACTTTGTCTGTCTGTCTATCAGCCTTACACAGATGTAAACAGAGCAGTTCTCACAAAGTGTCTGTGCGCAATCATTGGGAGATTTAGCATTTCTACTCTGTAGTCAGCTGTGGTAGCAACAGCCGATGTAGAAGTTTAATCGATTAATTGAATATTGTTTACTTAAATTTTTGTTTTGCTTACAATTTGTAGGAATGATTATGTGTCATAGGGTGTGCGTTTAAAAATTTGAAATTTGTAAATTTTAGAAACATTACCTTAAAATGTTAACCGAAAAGGAATTATCTGGTCTAAAAGATATATTAAAAACCATTAAAGACGTTGACTTGTTTTCAATCTTGGAGACGACAAGCAAGCGAATGATAGTTGCACAAGATAGAGAGGGTTAGTCAAGGATTTTTTTTTTTTTTTTTTTTTTTAATCTCGTTAAGTATTTTCATTAACAAATGTTATAGAACAAAGCATATGTCTAACTGAGGAAGTTTAGCTTCATTTGCTAGAGTATTAGATTAAAGCATGTAATCTAATCAAAGTAGAATAGATTAAATGCTACCTTTGCCTGAAGCAACTAAAAATACACAGAAAAAGAAAAAAAAAAAAGGTGTTTAAAAAGGAAATCATGTATGTGCTGATGAAGTCTATGTTATGAAAATTTTATATTTAAGTGCATTCTTTGTAAAATTTCTTATGGATCTGTTTCTTTAGGAAGTGAATGCTGTAACTGTCATTGTTTTTGTAAAGTAATTTGTTTCATTCTTTAAAGTGAATATTTTCAGATGTCTGTACTCAGTATCTCGTATGTTTTCTTTTTCTCTCTTCATGTTCATTTTTAAAATTTTCAGTAAGATTCAAACATACAGAGTGTTGGTATGCTTTAGAGTTAGATGTGTTATATTTGAACATTTAAGTAATAAATTCATTACACTCCACAGTACTCATAGATCACTAAAAATTCATTACATTTCACAGTCTTTCTTTGTAATCTATGCTTGTATACCCTGCATGTATTTCATCATGAAAGCTGTCTTACTTTCAGGAAAGTACTACTGTTGATAAAGTTGTATATTTTTTATTTAAAATAACCATGTTATAAAAATGCTGTAAATAATTTTATACATGATATAAAATGCTGATTAAATAAAAGTATTGGTTCAAATCTTAATGTAATTTTTTAGAGGAAATCAGTAAACGGTATCCAGTGTGTAAGTCAAAACTCTCCTATTCTTGCTTCATGATTACAGTATTATTTATGCATAAAACAAAATGTCAGTACATATATATTAAAAAAATTGGTTGATCTTTACAATATGGTAACTGGTAGTTTGGCGACATTTTGGAGGCGATAAAGGTTACTACCTGGGACTTTGGTAATAATGTGAGCAGTACTCAGTTCCGATTACGCATTATTTTGCGTGAGGGAAATGACAGATCATGGGATATGTCATGTGATATTAATGGACGAATTACGGTTCTTTAATCGGAAAAGGGGGGAAATCAGGAAAAAAATGTGGAAATTTTGTATTTAGCTTTATACTGTGTTGTGTGAAACAGTGTTGTTTAATTTTTGGATCCCATGGCCCTCACTAAAGTTAATTCGAAATGGGTATTTAGGCATTGTGATAAAGAGAAGTTTGCTTTTTATTTAGCGGAGGAAGTATGGAGGAAAAATTCGCAGAAAAAATCTTTCAATAATTTTATTGAATGAATTAGAAAAGTGTATCCGCCACGTAATCAAGATTCTGAAGAAGTTTAGGTAAGTTAGTATTTTTTTATTATTTGAGGATATTATTTTTATGCATTGTTCTAAATGTAAGGTGGAAAGGAATTTGGTATTATTGGGAAAATTGTTATTAGCAATGATTTAGTTTAAAGTAATTAGGATTGTAAGGTAATTTTTATTAATTTAATGTATGTGCTCATTTATATTTTAAGTAGTGGTTTTGAATTTAATTATATTTTAATGAAATGATAGTTATTTTGTGAATTTTATGTTTGTAGGAATTTGGTATATGTTTAAGTTGAAATAAACGTGCATGGAAATAATTTAAATATTTGATACTAAGTATTTGTAATGCTTGCGGTATGAATTCGTTGGTGACGTGTATAATGTAATAGATGATTTAGAGGTAAAAGTTTTTGGATATTTTATTTATTTTATATGTGGAAATGTTCATATTTGTAAAGGGTAAATACTTTTCCGCGATCAGGTAATTTCATATATGTTCTTTTTACCGGGTTTAAAGATTGAGAAAATTGTCATGTATTTTCGTGAAATTTTTCTAATTTATGAGAAAAAAGCAGTGTACATGGATATAGTGAAGAGTGTGCGCAATGCCATTTTTGTGCAATTCTGGGATGTTTTTTTAAGTAAAAATAAGTCGACGTGTACATGGTTTAGTGATATTTTAATTAAATGATAGTTATTTTGTGAATTTTATGTTCGTAGGAATTTGGTATACGTTTAAGTTGAAATAAACGGGCATGGAAATAATTTAAATATTTGGTACTAAGTATTTGTAATGCTTGCGGTATGAATTCGTTGGTGACGTGTATAATGTAATAGATGATTTAGAGGTAAAAGTTTTTGGATATTTTATTTATTTTATATGTGGAAATGTTCATATTTGTAAAGGGTAAATACTTTTTCGCGATCAGGTAATTTCATGTATGTTCTTTTTACCGGGTTTAAAGATTGAGAAAATTGTCATGTATTTTCGTGAAATTTTTCTAATTTATGAGAAAAAAGCAGTGTACATGGATATAGTGAAGAGTGTGCGCAATGCCATTTTTGTGCAATTCTGGGATGTTTTTTTAAGTAAAAATAAGTCGGCGTGTATGTTGTGTACATGGTTTATGTGTATGTGTTATTTTGAAAAACGCGTAAGGAGTATGGTATTGTGCACTTTTTTCCCATTTTGCAGTGAATATTTGTCATGATTAAGCAGTTTTGTTTGATAAAATTTCTAGCATAAGTGTAATTCGGCTAGTAGATTGTTGGAAGAAAGTGTTCAGTTAGATAAGAAGAAAAGAAATACATGATCTTTACTTTCGTGAAAGACAAAATGGCGGCGGGGAAAACAAAAATAGAGGGTTGCTGTAGGAGAGTTGGTTGCCAAATTTTCGCCAAAAAATCGCCAAGTTACCATAATGTAAAGATCAACCAAAAAATTCTTATGGATTTACAAAATTGTGCATTTATTGCTATATTATTAATAGTCAAATTGTTACAATTTTCATAGATTCTGGATGAATGCTGGAAGCTAGCAAGTTGTTATGGTCGCCATTAATATATAGTTTTGCTTTTGATGTTTTCTTTCTTGCAAGTAGCAAGTTTAGTAAATATTTTGTTATTCTATTGTATTTTATAATTTCATCAAAAATAAGTCTTATTTCAGGGTTTTTTTTTTTTTTTTCCCCTCCTGTTCTGCTTGTATTTAACCAAGCAATCTGTCTGTCCTTTCAGAAAATGCTTCTTGTCTTGTGTTATTCTTATTCAATGAATACATTATGTAAGCACATATTCCACCTTCACCTGACATTTATCAGGGTTGCCAAACTACCTCGAAAACCAGAAGTCGAGGAATTCGGAAAAATGATTAAAAAAGCCGGGGAATTTAAATATTTTAGTCAAAATCTGGAAAGGTCAGGAAATTTTATATGGTAATCCCCCACACCAAAAAGCGATTTTTACACCAGCGTTGGAAGCGATCACTTTCTTTACGAATTATGTATTGTGTTAGCATTATTTGGGCAGCTAGTGTAGAGCCAATTTTTGCAGCTCCAATCGGATTGTCTTCTGGAAAGGCAAAGCAAGTTTCCAGTAACCTCAACAATCGTGAGATTTGCATGTGCAGTGCATGTTGAACAAAACAAAATACCTTCCCATTCTCATATGAAACAAAATTAGTTTAATCCTATTATACGGTACACATGGTGTTTGGCAACATTGTGATGAGCTGTAAACGGGTCATTTTGGTATTGGCGACAGTTTTCAAAATCATGTGAAGACTCTACTGTATACTAGGATTTTACCACAAAATCTTTTAAGCCTTTTTTTTTTTTTTTTTTTTTTTTTTTTTTAATAAACGCTTTATTCGTCATTTTGCAGTAAAATGAAAAAATAATAATCACTGATCTAAGCTAACCATTTAATAGCAACGATATATTTGCCAAAATATCGTTAATTATTGTAATTCAGATTTTAATCTGGAAGTAATTAAATTTATTTTAATGTTATTCATTATCATTTAATGCAGCTTCTTCCATCTGAATTTATTTATTGTTAGTTAATAATACTTTAAAATTTCAGGCAGTTTTCTGTGGCATATTCCGGAATTCTAACAGTATGACTTGCCATCATGGAATTTTAATGCACATATATTTTACTTTTGTATGCTGCTAAATAAATATAAAATACCTGAATTGGTTAGAGTAGATTTAAGGGTGCCCCTTGGATTATCGCTAAGTTGTTGTTTCATTTACCGCCAAATTGTTGTTTCATTTATCGCCAAGTTGTTGTTTCATTTATGGTAACCTGACTAGTTGAATTAACCGATTATGATATAATTGCTTGCAGTAAATTTGAATGCTGGAAAAAGGTTTGAAAAATGTTTGTTGGATTTTGGATGAAGTACGTTGTTATTTTGCATTAATTGTGTAAATAAATGTTTATTTAGTAGCCATTATTAAGTGTCCTGTTTGTAGGAAGGAAATGTGAATGGTCTAATGTCGGATGATAACGACACTGCGGAGGATATTTTTTACACTTATTTTTGTGAATTTATGTGATACCAGTATACAGATTCTAGTTCAGGTAATTTTAGGAAGTTTTTTGATGCTGTTAAGGAATGTTTGACCGAAGACATGTAAATTCGTAAATAAGGTAAGTGGATATTTCCTTTGTGTAGTTCTAAGATGAGTTTCTTTTCTTGTGTTATTTCATTGTTTGATTTAAAATGTAGTTTATTGAGATTATGTAGTTTTTTTTTTTTTTTTTTGCTGTTCCTTTGACTTTCTAAGTGAATATAAATCGACGTGTACATGAACAAAGTCAAGGGAATGCACAATGCCTAGTTTGTGCAATTCTCTGATGTTTTTTTAAGCGAAAATAAACTGCGAAATATGTAATTGAAAAATGTTTGTGTTTTCAAGTGGTACTGTAATTAATTTACCTCTCGGCACAGATGTGATTAGACTGGATGTGATAGACTCTATGTGATTAGACTGAAATTTTCTTAACCTGGAAGTCAGGGAATTTCATTCTTCTGTTTGAGTGGCAACCCTGATTTATAAAACATTTTCGTTATGACAAACAACGAATTGGTTGAAGTGGTGCAGTGGTGTTACTATCATTTGTGTATGTGATGTGCTCTTTGAAATGCTAA